CTTTTCCTTTGCCATTGGTCTAGCACCCCTAGCATTCTTATTTACACGACAACATTACTTTTTCTTTTCCTTTGAATGCTTCCCTGAAGTGATGACACAAAGCCTTGAAAAGTGAGAATAATGAGTAAAGTCATAGACATAATGAGACAAAACCAATGGATTGGATGCAGAATTTGCTGGTGGGCATCTCTGGGATGTGCAAAGGGTCACTGGAGAATGCGGGTATCGATCCCGCTGCCTCTCACATGCTAAGCGAGCGCTCTACCATTTGAGCTAATTCCCCTTTGACGGTTGGGGATTGTAGTTTCATCTTGTCATATGGACCTTTAACTCCGGGGGATCTAAAAAGGACGCCTCGCCTTCATTGGTTTCTGGGCATGCCAACTACAGCAAGACCCCGTGGTAGAATCACTGCGCATACGAGACATTAAGGACCAACTCTAGTCTGGGCACTACACATTATGCTGGGAGACTGTCACCGTTTGTGGAAGCACCTTTCAGCTGCTTCTGGAGAAAAAGAGATGTCAGACTGGACTGGGGGCATTGCTGCGTGACTCTTGGCTGCCATGGGCCAGTATCATGAAGGTAAGAGGGGAGACAATCACCTCAGATGGACAAACACTGATGAGGTTTGAAGCCAGCGTTAGCCTGACAGTACCTGAAAGGTACTCAGAGGAGACGTGCAAATAAACATTTGCCAAAGGAAGCCACATGCGTTCGTTTGGAGTACTGACTATTCTGGAAACAAAGTATCTTTTGGCCATTGTATTAGCAGACCATTGTCTTTAACATGACCTGTGCAACAAGACCACATGGTGAACTAAAGTGAATACTGAGCCAAAGAAGAGCATTGCATCATGCCTGCTTTGGCAGCCAATCTCACAACATGCATTAAGATAAGTAGAAAGAGGACTCGACGAGGATGGGATTCGAACCCACGCGTGCAGAGAACAATGGATTAGCAGTCCATCGCCTTAACCTCTCGGCCACCTCATCTCGTGGCTGCAGTTTCTTTGCCAGCAGAATTGGGAATTTATTCTGTGACCATGTAGTCTGGATGGACAAAATGCGAGCTGAGCGCTAGTGTATCGACGCAGGGAAATCTACTCCAGATCCCCCACGAGGGGCTGCGTAACACTTTGGTAGAAGCCTGGAGTGATGCTGGCTTCTTCTTTGAGCCTGTTCTTCTTGGGGGTTGCCAGAGTGGATCATCTGCCTCCATCTCACCCTGCCCCTAGCATTCTCCTCTGTCACACCAACCCTCTGCATGTCCTCCTCAACTAGATCCATGAACTTTCTCTTCTGTATTTTTCTTTTCCTCCTGCCCAGCCGCTCCGTATTTAACACCCTTTTCCCAGTATATCTTATATCCCTCCTCTGCACATGTGCAAATCACCTCAGCCTTGCTGGCCTAACGTCGTCTGCAAACGGCTCAACCCCAGCTGTCCCTCTGACATAGTCAGTTCTAATCTTTTTCCATCCTGGACACTCCCAACATAAAAAAACTTACCATCTTCAACTCTGACAACTCCATCTCGGCCTCTCGTCTTTTCCTCCGTGCCACAGTCATAAAACAATACATCAGAGCAGCTCTCACTACCATCTTCTAAAGCTTGCCTTTCGCACTTGCTGCTATCCTTGTGTGACAAATCACCCCTGAATTTGCTCTCCACCCACATCTTCCCTTCAAAGTACTCCTTCCCTTGTTAGCACATTACCATTTCCACCCTTAATGACTTTAAACTGCTGTCCATCCTTTCCAGCTTCATCTCTCTGCCATACCAATTGGTACAAGTCCCTTTCTCCATGCTTAGTGTCAAGGCTCACCTTGAACTCACTATAAGGCTTTTCCTTTGCCATTGGTCTAGCACCCCTAGCATTCTTATTTACACGACAACATTACTTTTTCTTTTCCTTTGAATGCTTCCCTGAAGTGATGACACAAAGCCTTGAAAAGTGAGAATAATGAGTAAAGTCATAGACATAATGAGACAAAACCAATGGATTGGATGCAGAATTTGCTGGTGGGCATCTCTGGGATGTGCAAATGGTCACTGGAGAATGCGGGTATCGATCCCGCTACCTCTCGCATGCTAAGCGAGCGCTCTCCCATTTGAGCTAATTCCCCTTTGTCGGTTGGGGATTGTAGTTTCATCTTGTCATATGGAACTTTAACTCCGGGGGATCTAAAAAGGACGCCTCGCCTTCATTGGTTTCTGGGCATGCCAACTACAGCAAGACCCCGTGGTAGAATCACTGCGCATACGAGACATTAAGGACCAACTCTAGTCTGGGCACTACACATTATGCTGGGAGACTGTCACCGTTTGTGGAAGCCCCTTTCAGCTGCTTCTGGAGAAAAGAGATGTCAGACTGGGCCGGGGGCATTGCTGCGTGACTCTTTGCTGCCATGGGCCAGTATCATGAGGGTAAGAGGGGAGACAATCACTTCATATGGTCAAAGATTGATGAGGTTTGAAGCCAGCGTTAGCATGGTAGTACCTGAAAGGTACTCACAGGAGAAGTGCAAATAAACATTTGCCAAAGGAAGCCACATGCGTTCGTTTGGAGCACTGACTATTCTGGAAACAAAGTATCTTTTGGCCATTGTATTAGCAGACCATTCTCTTTAACGTGACCTGTGCAACAAGACCACATGGTGAACTATAGGGAGTACTGAGCCAAAGAAGAGCTGAGGCATTGCATCATGCCTTCTTTGGCAGCCAATCTCACAACATGCATTAAGATAAGTAGAAAGAGCTCTCGACGAGGATGGGATTCGAACCCACGCGTGCACAGAACAATGGATTAGCAGTCCATCGCCTTAACCTCTCGGCCACCTCATCTCATTGCTGCAGTTTCTTTGCCAGCAGAATTGGGAATTTATTCTGTGACCATGTAGTCTGGATGGACAAAATGTGAGCTGAGCGCTAGTGTATCGACGCAGGGAAATCTACTCCAGATCCCCCACGAGGGGCTGCGTAACACTTTGGTAGAAGCCTGGAGTGATGCTGGCTTCTTCTTTGAGCCTGTTCTTCTTGGGGGTTGCCAGAGTGGATCATCTGCCTCCATCTCACCCTGCCCCTAGCATTCTCCTCTGTCACAGCAACCCTCTTCATGTCCTCCTCAACTAGATCCATGAACTTTCTCTTCTGTATTTTTCTTTTCCTCCTGCCTAGCAGCTCCATATTTTACACCCTTTTCCCAGTATATCTTATTTTCCTCCTCTGCACATTTCCAAACCACCGCAGCCTTACCGGTCTAACTTTGTCTCCAAACCGCTCAACCCCAGCTGTCCCTCTGACATAGTCAGTTCTAATCTTTTTCCATCCTGGACACTCCCAACATAAAAAAACTTACCATCTTCAACTCTGACAACTCCATCTCGGCCTCTCGTCTTTTCCTCCGTGCCACAGTCATAAAACAATACATCAGAGCAGTTCTCACCACCGTCCTGTAAAGCTTGCCTTTCACACCTGCTGCTATCCTGGTGTCACAATCACCCCTTTATTTGGTCTCCACCCACATCTTCCCTTCAAAGTACTCCTTCCCTTGTTAGCACATTACCATTTCCACCCTTAATGACTTTAAACTGCTGTCCATCCTTTCCAGCTTCATCTCTCTGCCATACCAATTGGTACAAGTCCCTTTCTCCATGCTTAGTGTCAAGGCTCACCTTGAACTCACTATAAGGCTTTTCCTTTGCCATTGGTCTAGCACCCCTAGCATTCTTATTTACACGACAACATTACTTTTTCTTTTCCTTCCTTTTCCTTTGAATGCTTCCCTGAAGTGATGACACAAAGCCTTGAAAAGTGAGTATAATGAGTAAAGTCATAGACATAATGAGACAAAACCAATGGATTGGATGCAGAATTTGCTGGTGGGCATCTCGGGGATGTGCAAATGGTCACTGGAGAATGCGGGTATCGATCCCGCTACCTCTCGCATGCTAAGCGAGCGCTCTCCCATTTGAGCTAATTCCCCTTTGACGGTTGGGGATTGTAGCTTCATCTTGTCATATGGACCTTTAACTCCGGGGGATCTAAAAAGGACGCCTCGCCTTCATGGGTTTCTGGGCATGCCAACTACAACAAGACCCCGTGGTAGAATCACTGCGCATACGAGACATTAAGGACCAACTCTAGTCTGGGCACTACACATTATGCTGGGAGACTGTCACTGTTTGTGGAAGCACCTTTCAGCTGCTTCTGGAGGAGATAGAATCTATAATAGGGATCTCAAAACTGGATTATAGATAGCATCTATAATCCAGTTTTGAGTTCCCTCCCCAGACGCCTTAACGCCCACTCATATCCTGGGCCATCTGACCTCAGGAATTCGCATGATAAGGTGGGGCCAGGTTTCACAAAGAGCTCACCCGAAACTCTGGCTGATTGGGACCCACACCCAGTTTCACACCTTGGCTCAGCCGATTAGAGGATCATCGGGGGGTCCTTTTGTCCCTCTGCGGGGGGATACTCCCACTAGGTTTAAATCTGGGACTCTCCACCATTTGACCTTAGAACTAAAGAAGCTTCTCCGATGAGAGGTGAAACGTCTTCAAGCAACTTAAAGAAGTCCAGATGCTTTTCTTTGCAAGCTCCTTTGACTACGATGACCTGGATGACTGAGAACCTTCACAGACATATTACTATGCTGATGTTTGTTCTTCAGATAGTTAAGGGATGTTTTTGAGTTATCAGAGGTACAGGACTACACTTGTGATTGCTCATAGCACAGTCTGTTTATTTATGTATAATAAGTTAGAAGAAATAGTCAAAGCTAGCTCGAATAACCTGCTGAAAACTCTCCAATCCTTTTCCTTCACACGCGACAGATACATTTATCAAAATTACATCATTTGACATCAAAATACATATTCAGACATTGAAATCTGAGTAGTTATTTTTAAATACCAAAGATTTCCAACAAACATGGCTTTAACGTTACAGTATGCTTGTATGCTTGGCTTCGTTTTTTTTTTTAAACGTAAGTGCAGAAAGTTCAGAAGTTTATAGTTTGTTTTAGATTTGAATACAGAAACTGAGAGTCTCTTTCTCTCCTCTTTGCTGTACGTCCCTGTTGTTATTGGGCTCCACCCGCCTGTGGAGGAGAACCTTCGCTGTCTTCATCCCAAGACGAGGACGTGAACCCAGCAGGAGCGGAGATAGAGTGGGGTGCCGTGGTGTGGCCGAGCCCCTGATAGCGCCCACTTGACGAAGGGGAGGTGGGCATCGACGTGGCTGCCACGGCGATGGGGTCCTGCGAGGTGGCTGCGAGGAGGCCGGTGTGCTCAGTGTGCTCGGGTCGAGCCGCAGCACCGAAATACATCTTGTTGGGACGACCCAGGAACGTCCGACCTGAGCAGGGAGGGAGGAAACAAACATGTAACAGCTGCAGTGTCTTTTTTCCCTTTTTCTACACTCAAAATTACAGTTTTTCTCAGTCGCTTTGGTGCGTTTCTCAGATCAGAATTGAAATTCTCATAACTGTTAGTTCAACCTCCACAACACTCAGTCATTTGTGCACATCATAGTAGCAATTTCTCCTCTCTCTGAACAAACTGCAAATGATTTTGGACATGAATCAGTTGCTTCCATACATTTCCCTGCTGCTTTCTGACATTTCCATTTGCTTATGTCATGTCAGTCAAAAGTAATCATACCTATGGATGCTGAATAGTCGTTCCCAATAAAACTAATAGTCATACATCCATTGCTTGAGTCATCACACACAAAATTGTTGAACTAGTTATCACATGCCAAATATTGGCCATCTGTCAAGCAAATCCTATACCTTTCTGTATCATTTTTCCTGGAAATGTCTCCGAAATCGAACAATTGATCTCAGGTGAATTACAGCTGTCACTCATGAGGAGGCGTGTGAAAGTTTAGTTGTAACCAATGACAAACAACTTGTTCACTGTCAATTATGGATGAATCCTGTGAATCCCCAATTGGCAAGCATATATAAACTGCGCAGGAGCTAGTGTGTACCATCTACACTTCTGTGACACAAAATGGAAGATCAGCACCGTGGAAGAGGGGTGAGGAAGCGGGGAGGAAGGGGAAGGGGAAGAGGGAGAAGAGGCAGATATAGGCGGATTCCTAATGAAATAAGGGCTACAATTGTGGACCATGTTGTCAATCACGGCCTCACCATGGAGGAGGCTGGTCGAAGGGTGCAACCCAATATTGGAAGAACTACTGTCAGTTCAATCATTCAAACATTCCGTAGGGAAAACAGGTATGCAAACAGTAATACACTGTACTGTACTGTGCCATCTCAGACACATCACATGTTACTGTACTGTATTTGCAATTTCACAAAAAGTTCACTCTGCACCACATAGGATTGTAAGACAACCTCGCGGAGGCGGAAGAGGGCCCCTTTTTACCCCACAGCAAGAAGAAGCCATTTGTGCAATGGTCATTCCAAACAATGCAATAAAGCTGAGAGACATACAAAGCACTGTCATAGAGAATTACACGGTATTTGGCCATATTGAATCTGTTTCAATTTCAACAATTGACAGAGTACTCAAGAAAAATGAAATCCACATGAAGCAATTGTATAAAGTGCCATTTGAACGAAACAGTGACAGGGTGAAGGAGATCCGTCACCAGTATGTGCAGGTAAAGCTGGTCTTCTATGTTCTGCACTGCAAACTGTTGTACAGTACTTCGTAGTTTCATGCAGTACACTTGTGTTTTACCAAATGCATGCATTACTGTTTGTTACTGTACACAGGCATATTGTGACATTGCATTTCTGTCTCTCTCTAAAGCGTGTACTGGAGCTGGAAGCCAGGGAAACACTGCACACATTCATATATGTTGATGAGGCAGATTTCAATCTGGCCAAAGGCAGAAGGCGTGGAAGAAATTGCATTGGACAGAGGGCAACCACTGAAGTCCCTGGTCAGCGCGGAGGAAATATTACCATGTGTGCAGCCATCTCAGACAACGGCGTCCTCACCCATGTCCCCCTTCTTGGTCCATACAATACCCAACATCTCCTGACATTTTTAGACACTCTTTACAGGGACCTAGTCCCTGAGAATGAGAGAGGTGGAGGCCAACTCAGCAAGTATGTTGTTGTCTGGGATAATGTCCGTTTTCACCACTCCCATCAGGTCAGAGAGTGGTTTGCAGCACATGACAGAATTCTGGTTGAATATCTCCCTCCATATTCCCCATTCCTTAATCCAATAGAGGAGTTTTTCTCTGCCTGGAGGTGGAAAGTTTATGACCGGCATCCACATGAGCAAATGGCCCTGCTAGCAGCCATGGATGCAGCATGTGACGACATCACAGCAGGGTCCTGCAGAGGATGGATTCGCCACTCCAGGAGATACTTTCCTCGCTGCATTGCGAGGGATAACATCTGTTGTGATGTAGATGAAAATATGTGGCCAGACAGACAGGAACGTCTGGATGTGCCAGAATGATTTACTGTACTGTTACATGTGCTGTTTATTGTTCACATTAGTGTACAGCTCTACTAAATGGGTGATTTTATGTTTACATGTATTCTACAGTGAACAAGTGACTGTAGCATATTTTTCTTTTGCACAATTCTGTAGGATTACAAACACTTCTACACAATGGAAATGTGAAACGTACGTATTCAGTGTCTCAGTTACTCCCAAGACTCCCATAACATCTACAGTGACTTAAATGCACATTTCAGATGGCTGTACAGGTAGGCCATAGTGCTGTCGTCAGCATTTTCAGGTGTCACCAATTGTTTTTGCAATGGGAAACACTGAAATTATAAACTGTCATAGTGGAAACATGACAATGCCATTTGACTATCTTGTTCATAAAGATGGTGTCAAGACTTTTCATTTTGATGGCACTGACAGTTTCATTGACATGGATACTTGCTTTTGAGGTATGGATAATCAATTCTGTGCATGTGACGTGCTTTTGCAGGCTATCCACTAGGTTTTGCAGTTTGCACTAATTGTTTTGGGAAATGCACTAACTGCTGTGCAAATGTTAATGGTGTTCTGAGAAACGCACCAAAGCGACTGAGAAAAACTGTAAGAACATCTAAAACAGAGAGAACAGTAGCACCAAAAGCAGTTTAGCCCCATTTCCAATCACTGATGTGTTCCTCAACAAACTGCTTCAGTGTCATTTCCACATACTGTGATGATTTCTGAGTCAGACACTCACCAACATGGCGGACCTGCTCACTGACATCAGCTCTGATATCAGAGAAATCCCACATGGCCAAAAAGCTGTCAAAACACGACCCCTCCTCTGCTTCCTGATGGACAGAAACAGATAGATAGATAGATAGATAGATAGATAGATAGATAGATAGATAGATAGATAGATAGATAGATAGATAGATAGATAGATAGATAGATAGATAGATAGATAGATAGATAGATAGATAGATAGATAGATAGATAGATAGATAGATAGATAGATAGATAGATAGATAGATAGATAGATAGATAGATAAGGTTACCTGTACATAGGGCTTGTAGGTGAAGGTATAGTGGTGAGCGATGGCAGCCAGAAACATCTCTATGCAGATGATGAAGTCCTATATGAGTAAAAACTCAGTTATCTTTCAGAATAGAAACAGCAGCGTAAAATGTGTTTAACTGTTTTTAAAAAAAAATTGATTTCCTTATTTTGTGCCTTGTGTTTTTGTGTGCCTCTTGCAGTCATTTCACCTTAAGAAGTCAGTTTTTCTGATGTTTCATCCTGTTTCATTTTAGCTGTTCCATCAATTCATGCAGAAAGACCAGAAATATATACAAATTTGTACTGAATGGTTTACTTTTCCATCATCTTTTGTGTTGGTTTGATTCCAGATGTGAGAGTCAGAGTTCTGTCTGATATCAGGCAGCTTTTCTGTCATATTTCGAGGATGTACCTGTTTAAATCCCTCCCTGCTGCTCAGTCTTCTTCTTCTTCTTCCTGGACCCTCAAAGTTTTCAGTGTACCTTACTGTTTTCACAAAGTGCCTTAGGAAACACTGCACTGCTGCTGAGTGTGATCCTAATATCACACTAATGATGTTTACAGTACTTCATTTCACCTAATTCTCCATATTATTTTGTGACTTTGCTTCTGTTTTTGGTGTGATACTTCATTTTTTGCATTTTTAGTTCAACTCCTTGATGTTTGGGCTATTGTTGGTTTCTTGCCAGTTTTTCTGCAGCACCCATCAGCAAGTGTCATTAAAGTCCTCTTTTTATTCTGCTACTCAGTTTTCATGCTTTATCTGAACACTGTGGCATTTATTTTCATCGCTTTTACTGTTTTTAGTTCATTTGTCTTCTAATCTGTACAGAAAGCTGAATGTTGCTAAATTTTAATCTCTGCTAAAAGTCCAGGAAATCTCACCTGTTATCTAAACATGAAGACAAATAAATCAAAGGTCAGCTGACTGATGCAGCAGTATGATCTGTACCTGCAGACCAGTAGCCACGGCCTCCACGCTGTCCCAGTCCCAGGTGTGTTTGTCAGAGATCACACCAACCTTCACCAGCAGTGCTATTAAAACCGCCTGCCTGGAGACAAAATGAATGTATCAGCACTGCATGTGTTTAAAGGGAAAAATGAAACGGCTCAAAACCCAAAGCTATTACAATCACACTCCCATTCTTACCAGAAGGAGACGAACACGACCAGTTTGACACAGAGGAACTTCCCCACAGGCCTGATGGGCATCAGCTCCTCCCTGAGAGCTCGATAGAGCAACACCAGACAATACATGGCAAACTGCAGAGAAAGAAACAAAAATATAATTTTGGAATTTTACTTGATCTCTTGTTCACAGAAATCATAGATTTTAAATTTAGTATTAACCTAAAAAAAAAGCCTCAGCGATCAGTTTTCACTTTTTCTGAAGGATACTGGCTTAAAAAAAACTGTGTAAAGGTTAAACAGGGTTCAGGTAAGTTTCGGGCTGGGGGCTAATGTTTGTACTACATGCTCTGATGTAATGCAGTCTCATACCAGATGTTCAAATACAAAAAACCCCACAATAATCCAGATGTAACCAGGTGTGCTAACAACCAGAAACAGGTGTATTTGACACACTGGGAATGCGAAACTGCTGCTCTGTGATGATGACGCTGAGTCTTTACCAGCTGTGATATGTTGTTGATTATGACCAGGTAGGACCAGGCGTTTCTGAAGCTGAAGTTTGCTTCATCATAAACCCCACAGAGCTGACAGATGCTGCACACAAAAGCAATCAGTCACTTTAGCAGGTCACAAACTTCACTGTTTTTTCAGTTTGCTCTCAGATTACAAAACATATGAAAACATCTACACTTTCCCAAACTGAGGTAGAAAAATAAAGAAAATGGTGTACAGTACTCTACTGTTCCATGTGGATATCGCTGTGAATACATACGTGGGAAAAACAAGTTACTGTAAATTTTTACAGTAGAAAAAACGGCTTTTATTTTCATTTTCAGTCAAGTCAGAGGTGATTTTCATTCTGTTTTTTTTTTAATATTTCTGATTTTGAACATTATTTTCTAGTTCAAGTAAAAATATCAAGACAGTGATGTTTATAAAATAATATATAATGAAAACATTTTGTTTCACTTATGAATCAAAACTGTTGAATGAGGTTTGAATAAAAATGTCATGGTTGCTAACAGCAGGATTCTGTACAGCCTTAACAAGCAGAAGATCAGTGAAAACGCAGTAAAGAAAATACTTTCTGTTAGGCTCATGTGATGAGCACAGCTCTGAGTAAAGGTCTGTTTGGACCACAGGAGAGTTTTAGGTGATAAAATGGGCCACGGCTGCTCTAAGTAGGTTAGCAGTGATTGAATTATCACACTAAACACAAGGAGAGGTTTCATCCTGCATTACTAATCATGTTGGAAAAAATAGATATATTTCAACAGCTAACAGAAAGACTACAGCCAATAGCTGGAATCAACATCAAGTATTACTGCTACAGTTACAAACATTAGGCTATAAAACATTACAGTTATAGCACAAAACTCACAGCGCTATCACTGTGGTAACTGGTCTGACCACAGTGTACTGCAGGACTCCCAGCTTACACCTGAACAGCAGCACCCTGACAGAGAGAGAAAAAACTTAACATGCATCCATTCATCACACACTTTGAACTCCCTCTCTGTGACCTCCCTTCTTCTTACTCTCCCATGGGCCATGGTGGGCAGCAGCACAGCGGGGGCAGATGTGGCTGCTGCTGCTGGACCTCCAGCATGAGCACCAGGCTGGGGTACTGGTTACTCAGGAAGTTCAGCAGGAAAACCAGGAAGTTGTAAATGACGTAGGCCTCGTAGCACTCCCTGCACGTGTCCACGTAGATGGCCAGGTTGGGATATCGCAGGGCCAGCCACTGAAAGACGTTCAACAAGCAGAAATCATAAAGGTCACATGAGGGAAAGAATTTGATGAATTTCATTAAGTGTAAAAGAGTTATAAACACGGCAAAGGAAGAAAATACTGAAGGGTCTGTGTCGCTGGATGTCTGTGTTCGTTTGTGTGTAACAATGACTCACACTGTCCAAACTGTAGATCGGCACCATCCACAGTATCCTGTTGAAAAGAGACAGAGCAAGCTAACTTTAGCTCATAAGTTAGCACTCCACTAAACATCACACAGCCACTTATAGTCCCAAAAACAACATGGCAACAACCATAATGCTAAAGTTAACGCTTCAGAACAAGAGATTAAAAAATAGTGGGTGAAGTCAAAGTGGCTACATCCAACGTTTATATGCAGTCTGTGTAAGTTATGCCACATAGTCCAACCACTGCAAGCTCTGGAGACCAGCAGCTCTGCTCAGAGTTGTTCTTATCATTTTTTTTCAAACTCCTGTTTGACTAAAAAAATCTTAATATAGTGTAGAGTAAGTAATTCTAACAATTTCACATCTACTGATACATTTGGATTTAGACTTTTATTTTGAAAGGTAGACTCATAAATGTTCCAAGTTTGTTTTAATTAAAAATCAAATGCTGAGGCAGGTTTATCTTGCTGTAATCATCCCTGCTGCTCACATTGGCCTTTCTGAAGTGTTCCCAGCATAACAGATGGAGGAAAACATCCTCAGAGCTTCACTGCTGAAGCTAATTTTAGACTTTTCAAATTAGATTAAATTTAATAGCTACCAACAAGAGTAGGCTTTTAGGCACAAAATACCCACTTTCTGCTTTTTCCTTCAACTTCAGCATCCAGCTTGAAATCTGCAGCTTATTTCATTTTTACACCTGACGCCTCGTTGCTGACGTCAAATACAACAGTCCTAAAGTCAGACTCTGTCAGACCTGCTTCAGTGTATCTGTGGAGATATTTAGAGTGTTTGAAGACAGAACTGAAGTGCATGTGTGTGTGTGTGTTTACCTGATGATGGGCTTCTGCAGCTCAGGCTGTGTGTAGTGCACCATGTGCTGCAGGATCCCCCACAGCGAGATCGGGATGGTCAGAAACACAAAGATGCCAGCGATGAACCAGGCTTTACTGTGAGTGCCGACCTGCACGCAGACACAGACCGCAGGCTTTAAAGTGTATCCAACATCCTTCCTGCAACATCACAGTTAGTCACTGCAGGACTGTTGTGTTTTTTTGTGCAGTGAGAACACTGCATAAATAAAACTCCACCCTTTTTATACATTAAAGATAAAAAACAGATAAACTACTAAAGATGAGTCCATCTTTTATATACAGTCTGCTTATTACAGCATGAACAGGGGGCTACGAGATCATGCGACTATGTTTGGTCCACAGATGAGCACAGGTGGAGGTGTCAGTACTTTGTCCTTCTGCAGCTCCCAGATGCAGAGCGGCAGCACAGCGACCAGCAGGAGGGCATAAAGCACCAGAACCAGCGGGCGGATCCACCTCCTCCACTCTGCACATGTACACGGCATGACGGCAGCTTCACCCTCAACGCAGACTACAGGCACACATCCTAAACCACAGACCACAGGCAGGTTGTTAAGGCGGACAATTAAAATTGCTGCAGCATGTGTAATTAACCCGTTCATTTCATTACACACTCTTTATTTGACCTGAAAATCACAATTTTGAGCAAATGATTGCATAAAAATCTTAGCAAACTGCACAAAAAGAGCACAGATTTACTTTATGATGGCATTTGTCTGGATTCATAATGACAAAAGGATGTGTAATTTGACTTGTGCTTACTTAACAACTTAACACTCTGCAAGCTGGCACTGATTCCAACCAGATAAACAGACATTTCTGGAGAATATCTCTGTGAAAAACGCTCCACACAATCTTTCAAATTGGAGTTTTTAGTATTTAAAACACCTGTTAATTAGCCCATAAACAAACTAAAGTATGACACTAGTGTTGAGCGGAGAAAACTGCCTTATATTTATTTATTCTGTCAGTAAAAGCCAATAAAATATCAATAAAACTTTGTAAAACGCAACCTTGGACTTAAAATCTCCACTAACTGCATACAAAGTTTGGATTTTGCCAAATTAGAACTGATAGAATACATTTTAAAAAATCTAGCTTATGTTTAAATAAGTAAAAAGTAATTATTTATGGGTCCTACTCTTGAAGTTAGACTGATTTATAGCACTAAAACTCAAATAAACTGAAATCTGTGGGTAATATTTTGGTAAACAGTGCACTGTGTGATCCCTATTATACCAAAAAACACATAAGTTTAATATCTTAAGGGCTTTAGGAACCACCACTGTATCCATCCATATTAATTAGGTATATTAGCCTTAAACGTGTTAAAATGACCGTTGGGGTTAAAGCATCCCTCATGTAGCCTCTTAAAGGCGTATTACAGCTTTAAAATGTCGTAAAAATCTTAAATGCCCAGCGTGTAATGAGGTCAGTACACGGTGTATTCTTCAGGCATCACCACCTTTATCCGCTGATCAGTTAAAAAGCTGCTGGTTCGATACAATAGATTTAAACCGAACTGTTAAAAGAAGAAAATGTGGACCGTTACGGCGGAAGACGTTCACTCAGAGCGACGGTTGGCCTGCTTTCATCCTCACTCCGTTCTCTGTTACCAGGCAACGCATCCTTCCTCCGCCCAACCACACGCTGCAAAATGAAGCCCAGCTGATCCCCTTTGATGTTTTCAGTAGACCCCAGATCACTGTCAGACCACCGGACTGATCCGGATCGATCGACCACACACACCGATGTCCGTGTTCGCCCTTTCCCGTGTTTACGCGCCCACGTCATAGGCTGGGACCTCACCCAGCTCCCCGCTGTCCGTCAGTCACGTGGTCAGCGGAAAAGCGCCACAAACAGGGCGTGAACTTTCAAATTAAATTACCTCTGCTCAAGGACATGTTTTTCGTATGTATGGAAGCTCGTTGACGCCAATAAAAAAATATTTCTTAAAATATTTTTAGACTTAAACAATATTGTAAACATTATTAGTAATAATGCAGAAAAAAAATCAAAATGCTAAATTACAATTATGAGATTAAAAGTCAGAATGATGAATCAACTAATTCAAACTATGAGACATATTATGAAATTAAAAACTAGGTTACAAAGTAGCAGAGTAAAATAATAAAAGTATCTGAAAACAATAAAGTTATGAGACAAAGAAAATGTATGAGAGTCAGATTAAATATTTTTGTAAAATTTCAATATATAATTTGAAATATGTAAAATAAAATTGCCTCACAGAGCTGACAGCATGATGCGTGTCCCTCTGAAAGCCCTATCTGGGAACCAAAGGACTGAGTGCATTTACAGAAGCTCTTAACTGCAGTGCACTGGAAAAAAATCAGACATTTAGCACTCACACACACATATAAAAACCAAAGCAGAGCTTCATGAGCATGTGGAGAATATACTTTTATTAACAAACACGTATAATACTTATTAAACAAGTCACAGTAAGTATAGATATAAAACAGATGAATAGTTCAACACCAGTAACTTCAGTCCATGTGCTGACATGTTTAGAGACTTTGGTGGAAGTCAGATTGTTGGTCTGATCGCTGCTCCACAGCACACACAGGTTTTATATTTCACTTCATTTAAATTTCAGCTTCAGCTGCGAAAGCAGAAAGACCCTGACGTTTGCATTTACCATCACGTGTGACGTTTGATTTTGTGCGATGTGATGCAAAATTTCAGCCTCTAGAGGACGCTATTGTACCATTTGACATCACAATTGTTTCTGTTTGCACTAACTGAATATTATTTTACATGTTTAAACAACAATAAATAGGATGCATAAAAGAAAAAAGAAAAAATGGCTGCGTGCAACTCAGACACATCTAAGATCTAGAAAAATGAAACGTTTCTGTTAATTCAGAGACAATGCACTGTTTTTGTGGACACACTTCAAAATCTACAGAAAAAAATATCAAAACAAGATTTTTTTTTTTTATCAAGTATGAAAATAAAACAAGAAATTCTCTCTTGTTTTAGATGGTTTTTCAATCATGAAAAAATATTGCTATTTCAAATTGATCTGATAAAATAAGATTTTGTTAATTTTCTTTTCTTTTGTAAAAACAAAGATTTGCTGTCATTTAACAGCTTATCTGCAGTAAAAGTTAAAGGGCACAAAAACACATTATTTACGTTATCATAATTAATGTAATACTTTGTTTAGCCACAAGAGGCCCAACACAGACCGTGGGTGATGAGGTCCGGCTCATTTGGCTTTCCAATTCATCCCAAAGATGTTGGATGAGGTTGAATTCGGAGCTCAGGGTTTGAGGAAAACCTTTTCTTTTCTTTTTTTCGAAGGAACTCGAACTTGTCACTAAACATTTAAACGTCACTACACTGCAGCTATAAGGTCTGACACATAGTATAACTATATCACATATAATACACATAATATAATACAGAATTGAATAAATGCACTAATAAAGGTAAAGACTACACATGAAAGCGCTGGTGTACTCTGTGCTGTATTTCACACACAGTCAGTGTCTCTGTGTGGCTGCTGGTTCAGCGCTCAGAGCTGCAGATGCAGGCGAGTGTCCTGCTCGCTCAGTGGTCAGTGTGTTTGTACTGCAGGCTCGTCCCATGGTGGAGAGGCAGCATGCTGTTAGAGAGAGAGCCAGAGTAACACCAGCAGCACAGACAGGACTGCAGAGAGACAGACAGACAGACAGAGGGGAGTCAGGTTAAAGGCGTACCTCTTTCAGCGACTCACAGGAGACACATTGTTGAAAGAGCAGAGAACCACCTCAGCACCTTTAGTATCCTGATATAGCATTATCATCAGCTTGACCTTCAGATCAATCTATTGACCTTGAAGAGGAGGTCAGTGGTCAAATGTGGCATGATATTTTAAGTCTTTATAGGGTATTTTCTCCTGTATGTGTTGCATACACACCACACGTGTAGGGATCATAGTTCTTAAGTTAAGGCTTTAATTCAACCATTAATTCGTTGAGTTGACCTTGAAGGTGTTGGTGGATGTGAGCTAAAATTTAATGGATTGTTAACATGACCTCACTCACACCCCTTTATGTGCTAATTCGGTGGAGTGCCTCTTTAACCCTACAGAACTAACTTCCCATAAGTCTCCTATCATAGGTCACGACCTTTCCATGTTTATACATCTCCCCTCTCATTCTGTCCTCTAGATAATTCCATTCTGGGAGCATCTGATAAGTTTCTGTTTCTCTGTTATATCTATCTCACGCCCTTTGACCCCGTGACCTTGCTGCGATGCTACGCTGGCACAGAAACAAGCAGATTCTTGGCAGTCTAGATTAAAAACTCGCTCTCACACAGCGCAGCCATGTTCAGTGTTTACCTTGAAGCAGTTTTTGAACTTCTTGGACACAAAGAAGAGGATTATGGGATTGATGCAGGAGTTGATGGTGGCCATGTTGATGCCGATGTAGTCGAGGACCAGCAGGAAACTAGAAAATGTAGACACGTGTAAACAGCCAGAAAAAAACTAACAGAAAAAGCTTTGTTTTCCCAGCAGTGCATGATGGTTGGCCTACTTCAGGAGTTCACATCGCTGCTCACTGAGGTCTCGATCATAGATGATCTTCTTCAGCAGGCGACCCAGATGGAGAGGAAACCAGCACAATGCGAAGATCAACACCAGGCAGAACACGACCTTAGCGACTTCTCTCCGCTGCAGAGAGGACTTTGCATAAGAAGCTTGTTTGTGTGTTAAAGATAAACAGCCTTTTTTTTCAGTGTTGGTGATCACCTGCTTGAGGTGCTCGGTCAGCGAGATCTTCAGACTTTCTTTCTCGTGTTGGATCATCTCGCAGGTCATGAGGCTGTAGAAAATGGCTGAGCAGGCCAGAGGGATGCAGAAGTAGAAACCAAAAAACCACCAGTCCTTGGCTTCGATGTAGTGCTGAAAAACACAGAGACAACCACATTACACCCACAGACTGTACATAAAGGATGGACATAGTAATGTTGGTTTTGGAAACTTCAGCTTTAACATCCTGGCCACCATCGTCTTGTTTTTGGAGACACGAGTGACCATATTTCAATGCTAGCCTGTATTCACAGATTTTTTCTGGATGTAAAATCTTTCTAGAATCTGTTGGTTCACATCACAGTGCTCTAGAGCCAACAGCTGACACATGCAGCACAGACCTGAAACAGCTTTACTACATAGCATCCTGCAGGTGTTTTATACCCATCTCTCTGTGCTCTCGTTTTTTCTCTCAGCAGATGGTTACCCGTCATAAAACCCTCCTCACAGGCAACTGTCTGGTTGTTCCCCATAAACGTGCTCGTGTTGGCCCACCATGGGTAGCTGTGGGTAAATGAGCCCCTGCATGGCCTCGTCCGGGGTCACTGACCCAGTGTTTTTGAGTTTGGGGGCTTTCAAGTTTTGTTTATTTAAGTATTCTGCTTGTTTCTGAGTTTGCTTTTTGTTTAAATTTTCTTCATGTGTTTTCTTTAGAGTGTTTAGTCTCATTCTTAGTTTCTGGTTGTATTACAGTTTAGTTACCCTCGGTGTATTTGTTCCATCCTCTCCTGTTAGTTTCCTAGTGTTACGTTAATTTGTTTCTGCATGCTGCTATTTAGATTTCACTTCCTGCTTTATTTTGATAGTTATGTGTCCTTTTTTTTTTACTTTGTTTATGGATTTTGCATAATATTTATCTGCCAATAAAGGTGGGGGTTTTTCTGTTTAATTCTAACTGCCTCCACACATCTGCATCTGGATCCTCAGTTTCACTCTCCACACAGTCTGTAAAATCCACAGACTGCAGCAGTGTGAGCAGGACAAACCCACGTTTATCTCCCGTGATCCTCAAATGAGTGCACATACACAGAGTCGACAGCAGTTTAGCCCCTTTGGGTTTTCTATAGACATACCCACTATGGGCTTGTCCAAAGAAAACACGTGGGCCCCATAGCTGTTGTCCTTTTGGGCCTCCATATGAGCCTCAAGGGGGCATGTGTCGGCTCTGAGGCTTTTTATCTTACATTATAAAGGGTATTGTTTGCGGTTCTGTATACTATATAAAATTGATCCTGGATTTGAGTTCAGCTGGGACTTTTGTGTCAGTAATTTAACCCCCCCTCCTTGCGTAAATCTCTCCTGACTGTACATAGATGTGCTTGGTAGGTTAACTGATGATTCCAAATTGGCTGTAGGTATGCATATGAGTGTGAACAGTTATCTGTCTCTCTGTGTTGGCACCATGATGTTCTGGCCTCCTGTCCAGGTGTACACCACCTCTCACCCTAAGTCTACTGTGATAGGCTCCTGAAAATCTGCAGCATACTGTAATTGGCAGCTGGATGTTGGTGTAGGTGGAGGGGTTGAAACAGCAATCACTGACATGGTGCATTGACATGTTGGAGGAAGAGATGGGAAATTAAATAGACTGACAGTTTGCGAGGGTGTGTTTGGTTTTCTGTTGGTTATACTAACTTTGCACTTGTTTTCCAGAGATTCAGGAAAAGGAGGAGCACAACAAACACCAGCTGGCTGATAAATCCAATTAGTGTGTGTGGATAAATATGCTGGTGATTTGATTTCAGCTCCCTTCTGTGTCTGATCCAAAACATGTTGGAAATGACTCATTAATTAATCCATGTTCCTTGAATGCTGCAGGAAGCTGGCATTACCATCATGAATCAAAACTTTTCCATGTAGGAGAGTGCAACATTAGAGTGGACCAAGCCCACAGCCACACTAATGGGAAATGAACTGGGTTAAAATAAACCCACACTATCCTTTAATAAGCCCATGTGAACATGTTCGTCTTTCTAAACTTTGCTTTTTGTTTATGACC